AAGCAATGTGAGAGTGTGAGTCATGCTTGCGTGTGAGGGTTTGGGGGGGTGGGGGCATAAAGGGAGAGATCTCACACTGAACGGCTCAAGTGATTGCCTGACTCCTCTTGCTGGACACGATAAATAATTCAACTACTACTTCAAGGTGACATAGAGAGAAGGAGAGGGAGAGGAAGAGGGAGAAGGAGAGACAGAGAGAGAGAGAGGGAGAGGGGAGGGTGAAGGGTGCTCACAGGGCGTATGATTATACTCTTCATTTCCAATTATTCCCCTCGTCATCATTCATACAGTCATCATGCTGATGCTCAGCAAATTAAAAAAGCTACACCTGTGGACCCCTAAACATGATACTCCTGATGTGACAAAACCGACAAGTAAAGTCAATTAAGTAGTCATTATTAGTGAGGTATTACACACACAAAAAACCATCAAATATAATATACAAGTGTCACCTGTGCGACAATAAGGATATGCGTTCCAGGCTTTCTCATGGATGTTGAGGGCAGAGGCCGGAGCCAACATTCTGACGAATGACGGGACTTTACTGCACAACAGGGAGGCAGAGATACAACAAAGTATAAATACTTGGAGTACTCGACCCCCCAACTTTGGTAATGACTAAAATACAGTACAGAACATTTCCATCTGCAGAACTGAAACAATGAGTGTCCTCTGGTGGTGAACTTCCCTTTGTCCCAACTTTCGTTTTTATTTCTGAATTAATTCATGTTTAACCAATAACAGTCATTCAATGTACTGCTGTTCTAGAAATGTTCCGTATATGGCCTGTGTTCAGTTCTAGGCCCTCACGGTGTTTAGTTGAAATGTTAACCATATGAAATCTCAATTTCAATATTTTCTTCATCCTTCCCACTGTCAAGATATTGCAGTGATTTGAGATTTTAATAGTCATTTGTGTGTGTGTGTGTGTGTGGTTGACGTTGGCCAGGAGACAGGACTGAAGATGGAAATGATCTGTCTCTAAATCTGCATATTATTATGCAAATGTTGCTTTAATACATACATAACATTTCAGTGGCTGTAAAAGTGTCAATACATTTTTGGGACACAACTGCAGTATTTTATGTATTTTATGTAAACCTGTAAAAACAGCTTACCTCTGCAAATGGTAGATTTTGTGCGTGTACTGTCCTTTCTCCCCCTCTTTCTCGTAGGGTTCATTTTTTAGCACCTCCACTCCTTCTCCTCCCCCCGTCTCATTTTTACTGGCCTCGGCCACAGAGTAGAGCTGGCCCACCTGGTACTGAGCAAAAGACAAACACAGCAGCTTGAACTCAGGTGACAGCAGTGAGGAGACGTCGCCTGTAGTCTGGTTTTGATCATGTGTAAACGAGACAGGAAATGAGAAGAATAACTTCCCCCACCATTCTTTTTTTCCCACTTGTGTTATCAGCTCATCTATTTCAGTCTGAGGTGAGAGATTCTTGTTCTTCTGATCCACATCACTACCTTCACTGTAGCCTGCTGCTAAATCTTCATAATCTTTTCCATACGCCCACGACCTTAAGGCGTCCTTCTGCCATTTCTAATTTTACGTTGCACCCATTTTGTTTTCTCTTCCATCACATGTACACAACCTTTACTGCCATTCTTCCTCTGTGCTCCCCTCTTTCCTCCTGCTCTGGAGTGTGTGAATGTGGTGTGTGTGTGTGTTTGATGCGCAGAACAAAGGCTCCTTTCATTTTTAAATCACCTCTAATCCACCGTATAACCTCTGCACAAAACCGACACATTTACCACGTTGTAAACGTGGATCACGTTTATTCTGTGAGAGGTTGCGGCGACTCTTGTAGTAATCGTCAACCATTTACACGTTTGTAGATGACGATAAAAAGAGTGTGATAAATTTACCCTGCAAAAAGGCTGGCAGGACACAAGTAAATATTTCTGTAACTTCAAATACATCTGTTAGAGTTAGCGTTGTCAAACAATTCAAAATTTTAGTCTGATTAATCGCAGAGAAGCTGTAGATTATCCACAACTAATAGCAATTCATCTTAATTAATCACGACTAATTATGATTATTTGAGCTAAATCAACATTCCTAAATATGACAAAAGATATTTTTCAGTATGTTTCATGATGTTGTAACTTCAGTCAAGTGGGGAATTTCTTTAATTCTTAAAATCCTCCTGATTTCCTAGTCTAACAACTGATCGTTAACTTCTTATTAGTAAATAGTGTACAAGTTAAGACAGAAGAGGATCTGCCGTTTTACTCTCTGCAGCACAGACATGTTAAGAAATGATCCGGAGCAGATTAAGAGCTTTAAATATCTCTGAACCAAAGGTCAATGAGTCTGATGTAAAATAATCCATAAAGAAAGGTGCCCATGTGGCGTCAGGTGACTCATTTAGAATGCAGACCTGAATAGGGAAGGAAACTGCAATGGAAATGGAGATAACGGTGGACAGTGGGCCTCGCAGAGAAAGGAGGACGAGGACAGTGACAGTGTCTACTTTAACAACCTGTCTGATCAGTACAAACATTCTACCTTAGCTCCATGCTAACAAGAGCTGTAAAATGCCTCTCAACATATAGTCAGTTCCGTGGTGGTTGCTCATACAGTATGTGTGTTAGAAGTAAGTGGTTGAGTCCTGTTGCCAATAGTTGTGCAGGGTACTATGTTAACGACTTTTAGCTGAAAAAGACCAGAGAAGAGTGACTCAGAAAACAGCAACTGTGGTGTAACAGGACACACATAATAAAACATACCTCTTCCACTGAGATGGGAAGAATCACTCGACTGGAAGAAAGGACAAAGACAGGAAGGCAGTTAGTTAAAAAAAAACCTCAAATATGCAACAAAGAAAACAAAAACTTGAGTTGTCTACACTGAGCTCCTGGCTCGGCCTGGACTGGACTGGACTATAGTAGTATATAATATAAGGTTGAAATCATTGTATATTGTTTTACATGACTTTACATTGTGTAAGTTTACTACACAGTACATGAAAACCAGGGAGTGTGTTTTTACATTTTTTTTCTTTTTTTCATTACAACAACAGCATTTTAATTACCCATAATGCATTTGGACTCTGAGTTATCAGAAGAGAACACATTCCTAATCCTAAATCACTCCCAATGAAAACCTCAACGTTTCCAGCTCCAGCTTCACTTCCTGTCGTTCAATTTAACTCACGGCGCTCAGATCAATGACACTTGGATCTATTAATAACACGTAATGAAGACGTGTACAGTGCGCTGCCTCGCTGCTGCCGCAAATGTGAGTGTGATGTGCATCGGAATTCACCCTGCACTCAACACTGTCCCACTGCAATCTGGGTTTGAATCCCAGCCAAACGGTGCATGGCAGGGTTTTAAACCTCTTAATGACATCACTTTGTTTAAATATTAATGCACGGCTTCCCCGACAAGATCTTCATTTTGAAACAAACGTTGTGGCCAATTCATTTGTCGTCAGGATAAATGATGATGTGTGTAGCTGCAGCTCACGTGACTTCTCAGACAGGTTCAGAAACAATACAGGGTTACAGGATGTTTCATTTTAATCCTTAACACTCTGCCTCTGTAAATCTTCTTGGTGTAAACGTCTGGACAGAATTATCAAGTGTCTTTCCGTTGATTCTGGAAACATACACTCCATGTCTTTGACCACCCCTGTCCTTCCTGTCCTCTCTGTCCATCATCATTACCTTGTCTTTATCTCAGATTAATGCGTTGTGTTGTCTGTAAGAGCTGATGGGGAGTGGATGAAGGTCAGAGGTCGAGGTGTGTGCAGTACAGTACAGTCTGTACCAGAGGACAGGAAGGATCTCTGGACACTGTCCATGGTATCTTGGTCTGCGTTTGCTTTCAGAATTTAATCACCAACGATTTCATTGATTGTGGAGCAGATTGCCGCGGCCCAGACTGGTCTTTATCGCTTCATATCTTCACCCAGTGCCATCACTCCACTCCTGATCTTATTGGAAGGCCATTCATTGAACAAATCCACGTGTTAAAAAAATCAATGTTAACAAATGTATAACGTATTATAATAAGGCTATTTTTGGAAACAGAGTTAGAGAATAAACCCAGTCAGCAAGTCTCCACAGGAACCACTGCCCAGTATGTATTGGCACAGCTCTCATGCTTCTCAAACTGTGATGATCATATGGTTATGAACCCTGGATCTGGATCACTCTGCTGTTTTTCTAAAGACTTAGTGCAGTCAGCCTAATTAATGAAACCCTCCTGGGGGGAAAGTTTTTCTCCAGTGTTAAAGTGTGGTTCATTGGCTGCTGACTTCTTAAGGATTTGTTTGTATTAAAATCCTATTATGGGTTTGGTGCAATGGTACGGATCCTGCCTGTGATGAAAGCTCCAGTTCTAATAGTACCTTTGTCCCAGGGTGGGTTGCATCAGAATGGTCACTGTGTGGACCACCACTGTGGCAATGACCCTGACCCCTGACAAGGAGAGTTTAACTTTTAACCATTCATATGCAGCCGTGCCCTGTATGAAGCTTCCAGTACTGTTTGTATACTGTAAACATTGATAAACGTACAGAGCTCCAGTTAAAGAGGACGTTGACAAAGACTCACAGGATTCAGGAGCCACAGGTTGGAGAACGCTGCTCTGTCAGGACAGTGTTTCTTGGGTTATTTGACTCTCTTCTTCTTCTACTCCAATCATTGACAGCGGAGTTCTTCTGTGGTTCCTATGTAGACCAATAATCTACTTTCTGTGTACATTTTAGAGACTGAAGGCTAAATTGGGGGTTTAATAAGTTTTGTTACGTTTTCTTATTTGAAAGAAGCCTCCGTTTTATCATCAAGTGGAACACAGATCTAAAAGAGAAAGTTTCTAGGTTGGTATACATCACTCCTCATCTTTAAGCTCGTTCTCTAACCACCAGCTGATGCCGGATAGGCCTGCACGGAGGCCTAATGCTCGACAGTGTGTGTTCCAAATCCACAGAAGGTTTCTGTCTGCACGCAACACAGATCCCACTTCATCTGTCAGCACGTCCTCCCGGCCGAGCTGTCAGTCTAACAAACGCCTGACTGGTGCGTCTAAAACCGCACCATTTGCCCACACTCGTGTCCACCTGCTCAACCTGCCCCACACTTCTTCTTCTTCTTCTACTTCTCACCACCAACCCTATATTCTTCCGGAGTTGCTCGCCGGAATGTTCCATCCTTTCACCTTCACCGAGGATCAATAACATGGCCTGAGCAGCTTTTGCGTGAACGAACGTGGCTTTTCCCACATCACACATATATCTCCTCACACCAGCACCAAATAACTGGACCTGTAATCCAGGCTCCAGGACACCGGGAACGACCGTGTGATGCCGTCTGATATTGCGCTTGTGATGCTGGATGTGAAGGGCACAGCTCGGTCTAACCGTCCTCGCTGCTGCCGGCTGCTGATGGAACTGCAGCCACCGCGTTTAATCATCACGGTTCAATCAGTTAACACAGGCAGGCTGATGATGGAGAGGAGTTCACGGAGTAAACAAACATCAAGACCAGCCTGGCGGCTGTTAATGCGCTCTAAAACCACAATGTCAGTGCCGCGTATCCATCCAGACGGATGGAGGCGCACACATCCTCCTCCTCCTCCTCTTCTTCCTCTCTCCCCCCTCTCTCTCACACACACATTCACTCACACCTACTTACAATTCCTTTATGAGCATTTTTAGCGACTACAGTGTGTTCCAGAGGGGAGCGGCTCAATGCAGGTGCAGAAACAGGGTCGGTCTCTCCCTCCGTGGGTCTCTTCTTCCTTCCTCCTCCGCCTGCGTCTCTTTTACACCTCTCCTCCTCCTCTATGTCATTCTACCTTCCACAGTCGCTTGTTGTCTTCACGTTCACTTCCTGATCTGGGCCGCGGCGCGGCGTTGCTGCTGCGCGCAAAGCAGCGAGGCCTGTGCGGATGAGAGAGCGCAGAAAAGTGGATGGTTCGACAGGAACAGCAGCAGCAGCCGCCGCCGGGGGGGGGGGGGCGGGAGGGGGC